ATATATATATATATGTGTGTGTGTGTGCGTGTGTATATATTTTTTGGCCAAGCTGGAGCAATGTAAGAATAATAAATACTTCTACCTGGAGTTCAGCTTTTACAAAATCAGGGCTAAATAATAAGCAAATAGTCATATGTAAATGGATGGGACATTTGTCATTCAGGTGCTACTAGTCATTTAGTAATTTTTGATTTGTGTTTTTTTTTTTTCTGTGATGGTTCCAATTCCCCCTTTTTTTGTTGTTGACCTTTTTGCACTTTTCAAGCAAAGCAAAACTTTGGAACTTCATCTTTTGGAACTCGCATAAAGGGAACAGCTAATTTATGAATAGTAGACTAATTTTATTTAAAAGTTTTTTTTGTTTTTTTTTGTCTTTGTAACCTGTTGTATGCGTATTATGCATCTCCCTGCTTCTACTGTAATTTTATTCTTAGATTCTTCTTAATCTTTCAGCGCATGTTGTAGAGCCAACAAAGCTTTCAACACAAGTTCACCTTTCCAGATGCACAAAATCAGGGCTCTTTGTCTGACAATTCCTCTGTTTTTTGCATGCTCTCTCTGTAGCTTGAGATGGCGATTGAAAATCTACAAAAAAATGAAGGCATCACCTCTCACAAAAGCAGCTTGCTCAACAGCCATGTAAGTGCACCTCTAACTTGAGTCTGCTTGCAAAGTCCTCTGCTTATATTAGGAGCTTTGAGTGTGCATGTTTGTAACCCTAAGACAGATAGACTGTTAGGTTGAAAAAAAAGGACAAAAAGGTCCTATGATCGGAGCACACCATTAATGGAAATGGCACACCAAAGATGTTATCGCTTTATTTTTATTTCTAAATTTGTATCTTATTGTGTTAAATGAATACAAATCTTGCACTCATGGGTGGGTAATTCTGTTCCTGCTGTGAAGCTAAAAGTCCCATGCGGCATTGCAAGACTGCCAGTTACAGGCATGACTCGCAGTAGTTAGTTGTAGTTAAAGCATAGCTCAAGGGCCGGAGTTGCCCACCCCTGGTATAACTTTACTAATCCGTATGCTGTGAAATCATTGGGTATGATTTACTAAAGGCAGTTGAGCTGTTCGATTTGCAAGGGAATTCTCTGTTCGCTTTGTGAATGAGGTGAAGCGCTACTTTGCAAAAGAAAAGAATACCCAATCACGTGCAAGTACAAATAGAAAGAAAAAAATATAGTATTTTTCCTGCATGTGATTGGGTGATGACGGTCAGCAGAGCTTCACCTCATTCAATAAGTTAAGGGTAGATTCCCTTGCAAAATGCCCCCCGTTGTCTGCATGAAATCTGGTTGATCAAGGCCGATAGTCAGTACAGTGTTATGACAATCTTTCTGGTTTGTCACTGATGTATTTTAGAAGGATTACTGCTGTGTTATTGCAAGTCTCAAAAATGTTAATTTTTTTTTTTTTTTTTTTTTTTTATTTTTCTCTTGTTCCTAAAATTTTAATTATTCCTCTGCTACTACAATTTGAGGTGGTAGTTTGTGTAGAAGGTACAGATTTGTTTTGCGTTACAGGGTTATCACCTTTTTTTTTATTTTTGTTTTCTGCCTATTCTTTCTTCAGCTTCAGTGGCTGCTGGATAACTATGAGACAGCAGACGGTGTTAGCCTTCCAAGAAGTTCACTGTACAACCATTATTTACGGCATTGCCAGGAGCACAAGCTGGATCCAGTTAATGCAGCCTCATTTGGAAAATTAATACGCTCAGTGTTTATGGGACTGCGGACAAGACGCCTTGGCACCAGGTTAGCATATTGTATCTGGATAAGAGGAGTTTCATTAATATGTTGTACACTTTGCATTTATTTACCTATTCAATCTTCTCTGATTTTATTGTTGCATAAGAGACTATCCCAATTCCTACTTAATTTGCCAAAGTAGAAGTAGTAGAGCAGCAGGATTACAGCATGGTTCCCTTGTTGATGTTCTAGCAGTGCAAGCTGGGTAGAATTAGCTGATGGAAGCTGAGCCTGAAAATACTGCTTCCAAGAAACCTATTTGGGCATGGTTTCACTGGAGCGGCTTCAGAAGCTGCCTGGGGGCCTGTACATTATGGCTAGGCAACTGGCAATGATGCAGCTTCCCGTTAAGCAGCATAGGTAAAATTTTAAGGCTGAGCAGTATTCCTTAGTGACACTAAACTTCGAAGTTAAATCCTAAAAAATGCATTCAAGTACCTTAACGATTAAGAAAAATGTATCTTGTTTGTGTATCACTCAGCTGTAGATCCTCCAAATCATCTCTGAATTGGTGCTGACAATGTCCTTCCTTCTGGAGGGTGACTACTTTTGTTCACCATGGTCCCGGTTTGTGCTTTTTTAAAGTAGCCACCACTCCAAGCTCACTTCTGTGATGGGCTACAATCACATGTTATGTTTTTTGTTTTTACTAATTTGGATTGTAGTCCATCATAGGAGCGAGCTTGGAGCGGTGTCTACTTAACAACACACACGGGGACCATGGGGAACAAAAGTAGCCACCCTCCAGAAGGAAGGACAGTGTCGGCACCAATTCAGAGATGATTTGAGGGCCTACAGCTGAGTGATACACAAACTACATTATTGTTAATCGTTAGTGTACTTGAATGCATTTTTAAGTTCTAACTCCTGAGTGTAGTGTCAATTTAACCTTGTGATGTCTCAATAAATGCAAAGGGAGAAAGGACACTGGCCTGTGTTCTGGTAATCTAGTTTAGTACATTATGGAGAGTAATGTCCGCTGTTTCTGTTGGCATTGTTGGAGGAACCTACATAGATCTGTTCCAGTGCTAAACAACTAAGCCACCTTAAAGGATTCTGGCTAAACTATGTCTTAAGGGTGTGCATGGCTCTGTCCTTATTGTACTGTATGTTTAAATTGAAGCGTGTGTGTGTACAAATAGGATTATGTGCAAGACGTTTGCATCTGTAGGATGGGAGACCTAGCTCCCTATACAATTAGAGGATGCACAAAAGTGTTACGTGGTGTGTACTTTAAGACTTCTCATTTCATACTATGAAAACATCTTTGGTAGGAGTTCACTGTGGCGATCATTGAAGGCTTCTTGTGAGACTATTGTCTTGTTGGGTATTTTACTTGTTTTGCATTATACCTGTGAAGATGGTGCAGTGCTTTCGTTTGCTGCGCCCTAGTAGAAGGGTCTTATTTACTTCATTGTCCTTGTTTTCTAGATAAGCTATTAATAGAGCCAATTGGTGGTTTGCCCATTTTGTTGTCTTTATGGTTACTATGCTTTATTGAAAGCCTTTTCTGTCTTGGACTGTAAAGTACAAGTAACCTTTCTTAATGTGGATTGTAATTGCTTAAAGTTAACAAGACAACATGGCTGAAAAGAGATTTCTTAGTCCTATTTCCAGTCTTCACTGCATCTGGACAGTGCTCAAGAAAACTAGTTGTAGGTTGTGCCTTGTTGAATATCTTGGAAGTATTTTATGTAACGTGATCGATCACCAGTCTGATTCTTTGTAGAAGAATCAGACTAGTTATCTCAAACGGTTATTGATGTCTCGCAATGCTAGTTTCCTGAGTTTCATACTCAATCTCTAGGGTTAATTCACTAAAGGCAAATAGACTGTTCACTTTGCAAGAGGCAAAGTGAAGGCACCTTCAGAAAGGTAGCTCGGCAATGTCACCCTCCATGTTGCACTCATGACTGGTTTCCTTTAAAATGTTGCATGCTTTCAAAGGCTTTAAAGAACTCCGGGCAGTGAAACAATTACCCTTGTGGTGTGGTGACCCCCTGCAGGGGTTAAGTGCTTGTTTTGGTCTAGGGTCTAAAATAAAAAAAAGATATACTCGCCTGATCTTCGGTCCCACAGTGGTGACCGCTCACCCCTCTCCCCTTCGACACTGGCTGTGAAATGTTCCTCAGCACCTCAGTCTAATACTGTATAGATATGGTCATGTCATGGGTCATTAGACAGAGCCTGGGGGAGAAGAGGCTGCAGGGACCAGTCTAGCAGCCAGACAGGTGCGCATATGTTTTAGACTCTAGATCAAGCACTTAGCCTTTCCACTGCAGGGGTTAATTTTTAACTGCCAGGAGTTGTTTAAGCGAAAAAACAAATTAAGCCTGTAAGTCGCATACAAAATTACATAAAATATGTACTTATTGAAATAACCTTATACATTCCCTTTACCATCAAAGTACTGTCATGTTACAAGTATATTTTAACCTAACCAATCCTTTTTATTATGTGTGGACAGGGGTAACTCCAAATACCACTATTATGGCATCCGATTGAAACCGGATTCCCCACTTAACAGACTTCAAGAAGATATGCAGTATATGGCAATGAGACAGCAACCAATCCATCAGAAGCAAAGGTTTGCAAGTGCTTTTGAATTTATTTGCTCAGACATCAGGGGTTTGTTGTTGAAATACTCCCTTTTCTTTAAATGGAGGCTGTGTGTATCTTATAAACTTTATAAGTAGAATGCTAACAGGATTTCAAGGTTTCACATAGTTATACATTTTCTAAGAATGGCATTTTGTAGATTTACAGATTTCACACAGCTGTCCAAGAGAAAACTTCACCTCTTGGTTCCTTCCCACTTCTCCCATCTATTGGGCTTGTAGTATTTTTTTCTTTTGCTTGCTGGAAGGGAAATGCCCCACATATGCCAGGAGCCCTTTTTTTGGCACAGTACCAGGATCAGAGCCCTGATTGAAAGCAGTGGGTTTCCAAGTCTGGAACCACATCAGATCAATAAATGGATAAAACCGCTGTTCACTGTGGTTGCTAGGATAAGGATGCCCATCTCTTTTATATAAAGTGAGATTTTATTGTTTTTAAAAACAAACCCCTCTTGATGGAGCAGGAGTTTTACTACTTATGTTATAAATAAGAAATACAATTTTTATTTTTTGAACCTTATGTTATAAATAAGAAATAACTCTATTTGAATGCTCAGATACAGACCTACACACAAGACGGATGGCATGATGGATAGCACGATCAACAGCCAGCACACCTCCCCAGAGCAGTCAGTTGCTGCCCAGAGCCAGCATCACCAGCAATTCATAGGTATTGTACACTTGTGTAGTGGATGGGGTGGTCCTTGACCAAATAGAAGTGGTAGATGAAGGAAGAAAATGACCGAATATTCACGTTTTATTTTGTGTTTACATTGTATAGATACCTCCCATGTGTTCCCAGACTTCCCTGATCTGGATCTAGGTGGTCTGATGCTACCAGATGGCATTACTATGTCTGATATAAAGAATTTGCAGCTTATGTACCGACGTCACTGTGAGGTGAGTGACACTGTCCTGTTCATTAGAAGCCTGGGTTATTAGTATGATGACCAGCTTGGGGAGTTTCTTTTGTCTTTGATAAAGAAGGAACTTTACCAATATGGGCACACAGTAAAATCTTGGCTTTCTAAATCTAACATTCTTTGCTGCTTCAACTCTGTGGTTCCTAATCCAGTAGTTTCTGTGTGCATGCTGCCAACCATGGCTTAGAGCAGTGGTTCTCAAACTGTGTAACCTCAGGACCCACATTTGTCCTCGGTCATTAGGTCGTGACCCAAGTTGCACTGCAATGGAACGCACGGCATTGTGGTACTGCACGTTTCGATGCAGGCAATAGAACTGTGGGTGGGAGGTGCATTTGGGGTGCCATTCAGATGAATTGCAATGCACGTCTCACACCAAAATGCGTGGTAGGTGCGATTTCGAAGTACAGTGAATTAATCGTCAATGACTAGTGTGAATGGGCCCTCAACAACACACCGACGCAATCTCTCACACACACACACACACACACACTCCAAAAATAAAAAAAGTGTTCTTTTTTTTTTAAGATCCACCCCCCAGTCTGGAGTGGATTCTCAGCCTGGGGTCCAGTGTGGGCTGCTGTACTGTGACGGAGCTCCATCCATATGTGCATTGCTTGTGCAGCTCCCTAACATGCCCTGTAGAGGTGTCGGGATCCAGAATGTGACATCACTCCGGTCCAGGCACCTCTACAGGGCATGCGAGGGAGCTGTATGCAATGCACATATGGATGGAGCGCACCCTACCTCAAGCTGACACTCGGGGCCAGGCAGCATATTTTGCAAAGAGCTTTACTTTAAATAGTATATCATTTATATTGTCTCTTTTTAAATTTGAGGGTTATTCACAAAAGGGTAAAGAGTTTGGAGAAGGCAGGAAAAGTGAACACTATAGGACAACATAGCTGAATTGGACCTGGATTGTTCACTTTTCCTGCCTTCTCTAAACTCTTCACCCTTTTGTGAATAGCCCTGTAAATATTGTTTTAATATGTTAGCTTTTGACTTTTTTTCTCTTTTACAAATAAGAAAACATTAGGAACTATACTTGAATAAAAATGAATACAAATGTTTGTTTGTTTTACTTTTTACATTATACAGCTGGTATCTGCCTTTGTTTACTCTTGCCGACATTTTAGAAATAATTCTCTTCTTGGGTCATAGTTGTTGCAAATGCAGCAGCGCATATATATGATCATTACTTGTGCAATGATGTCTTTTAAGCTGTAGATGGTGCGGTGCTAGTCTGTATGTTCATGCTTATCTATGTTATACACAGGAAGTTCTGTCTGTATGCTGTATTCTGATGTTCTTCTAAGCAAGTAAAACTTAATTCCGCATTCCTCGAGATCTCACTGCTTCATGTAAATGCATTGCCAACAATAGTAAGCTATTTGAAAAGTTCTAAACAAAGCATTTGTGTCTGAAGATAATCTTAAGAGATTATTTCCCTACCAAAACATTTTCTTGTGTCTGTGGCTATATTCTGGGTTATGCATGCTTTGTTACAGGGCATTGAAAATTGTGCTACATCTGAAACACATGTGACAGTATGTAGGGTAATGTGTTCTCAGTGGGCCCTAACCTCTATACAGCCTTGATTTTTAGCTGCTAAAATACTTTTTTACATGTATTGTCCAATAGGCAAGTATTTCTTTTATCCAGAGGACAGTGATGAATCCTTGTATATATTTTTCTTTAAACCTACAGGCAACTGTGGATGTGGTGATGAATCTGCAGTTCCAATATATTGAGAAATTGTGGCTGGCTTTCTGGAACTCTAAACCTTCCTCTCCTGATGGCTCAACGACATTGTCCAGGTGAGCGAGTTAATTATGCGTTATGGCAGAGTAGCTAAAGTGCACCCCACTTCTTTTTTTTTTTGGGGGGGGGGGGGGTGTTTTTTTTTTTTTTGTGTTTTTTT